CCCGGCAACTCCCCCCAACAAGCAACATGACCCCCATCCATCGCCCTAACTCCCTCATCCTCCATACCTGCCTCTCGCTGATCTTCGCCCAATCCAACCAAGTACAATTTCACCGGTGTTGTCGATAGCGTGACGCCACCAAGGTTGGCGACCCCATCCCCATCATCGACAAGGGCAGCACGATCCTTGGGCTCCGTGCCAAAACCTGGAAGGAAGGAGACAACGTCAGCATCTCCTGCTACAGCAGCAGTGAGGTCTTGGTCCACAAGGATAAGGCCAAGGGCTGCCTGCTTACCGATAAGGTTCACGGCCCCACGGCTTGAGAAACCCTGAAGACGATGCCGATCGCCAGAACGTCAGCCCAGCTCCACTCCCAATTCCGCCGCCACCTCCTCTCGTTGGACTCGCTCTCCTCGCCGATATCTAGGCGAGATTGAGAGGCGAGACTTCATCGACACGCGCTGCATCGCTCGCCTAGGGTCGACTCAAGTTCACGCGGCCCTTTCTATGGACCGTGCCGGTCTGGCTTGGACTCGCGGTTGGTTTCCCCCTTTCTCTACTTTGCACAGGTTTCGACAGGTTTCGACCACAGACTCGTGTTCATTCGTCGGATCATTGCGATTGATTTCAAGTCGGCTTAGCAATGAGTAACCGCTGTTCGTGTGTGCGAGCGAGTGAGAGATAGAAAGTGAGGTGCAGAAAAAGCACGTCTCTTGTTGCGAGGATTCCTTGATCATGCAGTGCGCTTGCTGGGAAGTGCTTCGAATGTAGCCAGAATGCACACGATCCTGTAGTTGAAGTACGAGGCAGACCCGGTGTTCTGCTTTGGCATGGTCTCGGTCGCAGTTGTCGTCGCGGAATGGGGAGGCGCGTCCAAACACTGTGCTCGCCGGCAATTTCGTCATGAATTACTCTTTTTCTGTGAGATCATGATGATGCAAGTGCGCCTTTCTAAGACGAGCGAAAACACCCGAAAACCACGACGACTTGATGGCTGGGGCAGACTGCAAGCAATCGAAAGTCGTAACCATGGTGAACGCGGTTCGGCACGTTGACCTCGCTTCGATGCAAGTCGGACGCATCTGGTGGAAAAGTTAGCACCTAGGTGACGAACCGATGTGAGCGAGATAGCGTGTGGATTCTACGCCTTCCTATGCTAGATTTCGTCACATGGGGTAGGGCAGCTCTCACTTATCGCGGTTGCACAGCCGCGCGCCCGCGCAGAGGCCAGAATTGGGCGGTGAGACCGAATGCTGTGCATGTGCCCGTGCATGTGCCCGTGCATTTCACGGCGTTCAGAGAGGGACCGGCCTCGAGGCAGGGCGCGACTCTGGGAATGTGGAGGTTGCGCAGCGGCTTCTCGGCTGTGTATCTGGATTTCGGTCATCGTGCACTCAGAGTGCACGGTCTCGCCCTCCTCCCCGATCCGACCTCTGTCCCGGCACTGCCCCTCGCCCAAGTTCTACGACGACCCAGCCAAGCGGAGGGGATGGCCTGTCAACTCTGACGTTACATGTCGCCGGCGGCGTGGCACGAGCCAGCCACGGCACCTCCAGATACCCCGAGAACTTGTATATAAGCAGAGCCGAAGCGACATTGTTCTGCTCTCCTACACACATCTTCCACAGCACATCCATCCTCCAGTAACCATGTCCGCTCCCGAACAGAACGCTCCCGCCGCTCCCCAGCAGGACGGCCTCGATAAGGCTGTCCAGTGGGGCACCAAGAAGGCCGGCCACGAGCAGAACGCCAGCACCACCGAGAAGATTTCGGACGGCATCCGATCTGGCTTGTAAGCATTCAACTCGTCGGAGCATTATACTTCTTTCATCGTTGCTGACCACTCAATTTTCTCCCTTTCCGTTGTTCAACCCCTCGCAGCAAGAAGCTCACTGGCAAGGACGTGCCCATCAAGGACAAGCAGTAATTGCCTCGTCCCGCCATGCTTCCCCATGATATCCACGGTTCCACTCTATACCAGTCAATGTGAAAGCGCGTCGATACGTCCTCATCTTCCTCACAGGTCCGTGCTTCATTGTCTGATCCGTATGTGCAGCGCTCAAATACTTCCGTCGTCAGCCCGAGTGATCCTGGCGCTCCCAAGGGCGGACAAGGATGATGGGAGCATGATCCATTTACGGCGCTCGCGTTCCGTGAATGATACGCGAGAAGGATGGTACATGGCATCGATCATTCAGAAATTCGAAAGTGCTCGATCTGGAAGAGCTGTAGACGATACATTGATTCTATCTAGCAACTTGTCTCGGTGCCACTAGCGGAGGCGCGATACGGTGCACTGATGTGGACTCAGTCGGCATAAATGACACTGCATCGATCTTGGTGCCCAAGCCCTGATCGCTTAGCATGGTGGTCCGCTCTGGGGCAAAGTCTTGTGGCGGCGCAGTGGAAAGTCCGGTGCAGTGCGGGGCAGCCACCCTGAAGGCATTTCCTGGGCGACCCCCTGAAGCCAAGCGACGATTCTTGCCCTCTCTTCCCCCTTAGGCGGACGCCGGTGGGACGAGGCTTCTGCTGGACATTGTGCGACTTGAAGCATGTTAGAGCAGACATCCTCGCTACTGGTGGCGTAGTCGTAAAAGTAACCGCTGCTGCCTGGACGGTCCGAACTACAGCTGCCGTCGGCGCCGTACGGACGCAGGTGGAACCGAAGTTCGAGACGTGGTGGCAAAGCTAGCGTTTCTTCGGGAGAAAACTCGTTGAAGCGTTTGGGGCCTCTCCCTGCATTGCGTGCATGTGGGGAGAGCCCAGCCTTGGTATGCCCAGATCGAGCAATGCCGCCTCTGTAGTTGAATTCGGCTCTCGTTCTCTTGCGTATGGTGTGCTCTCCATGCTTCTGGCGATCTAGCCAGGCGCTTCGAGGCCTCGATTTGTCTTGCTGTGGAGTGGCCAGGATTCCGCGACGAACCTCGGGAAACAAAAGAAATAGGACGGCGAGAACAGCAAGAAGAGCACCGATGTAGCTGCAAAGGATCCACAGGAGGATTCCAACCAAGCAGATGTTGGTGGTCAGAAGCACCTCATGCTGCTTCACTTTCTCCATGATGGCGGTGGCGCTTGTGGAAAGGCCGTCTGGGAGAACTGCATCGGTAAGCGGATTCGATGGTTGTAGGGGAAGAGACAATGGCTGCGGAAGCAAGGAAACCCTGCCCGATCGAAGCTTCAAGGCGGGACAGCACAAGCGCTTGAAAGATAGAGTTTCACGTTCCCTTTGCCTTCCCCACCAGAATCAGTCAAGGCTGGAATGTTCGCCTTTCAATGAGCGAGCAGAGCATATAAGGTTTGCTGCAGGTGCGCTTCCGTCATTGCATGTGGTCCAACACCTGAAAGAAGCTCGTCTCGCCTCGAATGCCACTTTGCCGTTTGTCTGAAAGCATTGTCAGCTCAGTTCAAGCGTCAACATGGGGACGCTGGCGCAAAGTTGCGAGATTCGCAATTTGTTAGAGCTGCCAGCCATCACATCTCCGCATATTTTCGAAGGCTCAGTTCTTTGGGGCGGCGCGACGTTCCAACCAACACCTCCACGCTGCTCTCCAAAAATCACGGGATCACAGCAGCGCAGAGCTCCACACCACCGCACGGCACAATCGCACAGGCAGGGTCCATCGCGCCCACCTCGCTTTAGTCGTCCAGGCGCGCTCTGCCTACGCTACCTTCATACAGAGCACCATCAACATCACCATTGCCTTCCCAACAGCGTGCTTGCTGCCCGCCCTGCACTCTGCAAAGAGCCCATTGCTGAGGAGACCGCACACCGCGACATCGCAACACCAAGCTGATTGATCTCCAGTGCCGACGTCGACCGTAGTCATGTCGGCGTCTTCTACCCAACCCGGTGGCGCCCCGCAGCCGCATCCGCTTCGCCCTTACTACCAGGCGCCTGAGGATTCCGTCTTCATCGCCACGGCACCTCGCTTCAACATGACGGGCACACCAGGCACCGCATCGCGAACCGCGTCCGGTGCCTCCAATGCCACTTCCAACCCGGCGCTACATGGCTCTGCAGCGGCGCGCCCGGGCCCGAACCGATACATGTCCGCCCAAGACGCAAAGCCCTATGTCGCCACCACCACGAGTGGCAGCTTTGGCGAAGCCGATGCCGGCGTCTCCGACATCTTTCGTGCACTTCTCGTCAGTGGTGCGCTTCAGTACACGAGCACCTGCCTAGCCATGCCATTCGAAGTCGGCAAGCTCCTCTTGCAGGTACAGTGGGTGCCCAGAGACGACGTTTGGCTGCAGGTCACGCAGCAGGCTGCTCTCATGCAGAGTCGCCCCGCCATCAAGTCACAGGTCGCAGACCCCGCACGAGAGTTGCGCGACGAAGCACAAGTCGATGACTGGGAGCAGCAAGTGGCGCCAGAGGCGAATGAATGGGACCGAGACAGCGATATCCACGACGAGGATATGGAGGAAGAGATCCTCGAAGGTGATCTCTCGGACGAAGACGACGCTGATGCCTACTTCCGCGATGTGGCTTCCCGACCCGCGCGCACCGACACATCCCTCTACTCTGGCCGCAAGAAGAGGCGCGTGGTCGACGCTTCGGGCTACGTCATGCGCAAGAGCGTCCACGACCAAGTTGCACGCCCCGAGTTTGTCATGCCCGTCGTGGTGCGGGGCGGCGTGTGGGAGATGATGAAGGCCGTCGGTCGGGGCAAGGAGGGCTGGCTCGGTCTGTGGAAGGGCTCGCTCACCTCGTTTGTGCTCGAGGTGACATCGTCGACGATCCAGCCGCTCGTCTCGTCCATCCTTTCGCTCTTCGCGCCATCTGCCCTCTCACCCTTGCCGCTAGCATACGCGCCCTATCCATACAAGACGCTCGGATTGCTCTTGTCTTCGCATCTCATCACCGGCATCCTCGTCTCGCCAATCGACTTGGTTCGAACCAGGCTCATCGCCCAGAGCACGCTCCCAGCACACCGCAAGTACAGCGGTCCGTACGACGCGCTCCAGAAGACGCTGCGCGAGGAAGGCGGCTGGAAGACGGCATACCTCCACCCGAATCTGCTCATCCCAACCATCCTCGACTTTACGCTGCGTCCGCTGCTCTCGCTCGGTGCGCCTCTGCTGATCGAGCACACGCTGCGCCTCGAGCCGAACACGCACCCCATCAGCTACGCCGTCGCCGAGCTCGCCATCTCCACAGCGTCGCTCTGCATCACGCTGCCCATCGAGACGGTCCGCAGGAGGCTCCAGCTCCAGATGCGCAAACCCTACGGCGCCAAGGATGCAGAAGCTTCTAGCGCAGCCTCGTCGCGTAAGATCACCAGCGCCACGCTGCAGCAGCAATCGTCGACGGCAGGATCGCCTGGACGCATTGCGCTCACTACGGGCAACATCAGCGTCCGCGGTCTGCGCACGTGCGTCGAAACGCGGCCCCTTCCATACGTAGGTGTGGTGGAGGCTATCTACCGCATCGTGACGGAAGAGACTGTCGCCACGCACATGCGTTCCGTCAAGCCCGACCAGACTTCGGCGTCGGCCACCAAGGCAACGGACGGCAGCGCGTCCGATGCCGGAGCCGCTTCGGACTCGAATGCGATGGCTCAGTCCGCAATTCTCGCCGACAAGACCGGCCATTCGTCGCTCGGCGGTCTCCGCTCGCTCTACCGCGGCTTCAGCATGGCGTTCAGCGCCAACCTCGTTGTCTTCATGCTCACCATCGTCAGCGGCGAGAGGGCGGGTCCCGCAGGGTGGGCCGAGATTTAATTTGTTGATGAACCAAGTCGGATCATCCTCCTCGCTTGTCCGCCTTATTGCGTATGATCACTTCGAAGCTCGATGTACAATGCAGTTCGTTATTTACGGGCGCCGTGAATGTCTGAGGCGAGCTGTGAGCGAATGCATCGAGGCCGTCTAGGGGCGACTGGCTGGGTCCGGTCGGCAAGCTATGCGGTGAAAAGACCGGTGAGTCTACCCAAGAAAGTGGCACAAGCGGCGCTACTTCATTTACACGGATGAAGCTGGTGGGGGGTTGTTCATGTCTGGCGTCCTCGAAGCTCGGAGTGGCGACGCGGCGAAGTCCGAGACGAGAGCTTTGATGGTGGGCTTGCGGAGCCGCGGCGTAAAGAAATAGGTCATCATGCGAGACGGGATTGGTTGTTCGTTGACTTCCTTGCCCCAAGCATCATCAAGAACCACAGCTGGCTGTGTCTCGTTCAAAAGCAACCTTTTCGCCACGTTTCTTTTCTTCTGGCCGGTCCGAAACACGCCCTCTCACATTTATGCTCTCGATGAAGCTCTTTGTTGTGCCGGCTACCGTGGTTTTGGCGTGCCTCTGCAAAGCGGCAGCGTACAAACTTGACGCGGAAGACGGGCAGGCGGAGATTGGGGCCTACCATATCCAGCCTGGTCGGTGTGCCGGCGTAGAGCAGCGTCTAGGCCACACCAAGTACAGCCAGTACTACCACTGGAGTCCGTTCCACACATCGTTCACCGAGCTGGGCTACGGGAACGATGTGGAGCAGATGGACTCTACAGCGCTGTGCGCCAACAATCCCGCACTGACCGAGGGCTACGGCGGAGGGTTCGACAAGATGCGCATCTACCTCGTGTACGGACGCTGCGTGTACGGTACCCAAGACATGAAGGTCATGTGCGGAACCATCACCGAGCAAGGTCGGCCCTCACACAACATTCTTAACGTCGTTCAAGCCTCGTGCCCCGTCGGAACGCGGTGCAAGAACCTGTGTGCAACAATGCAGGATCCCTCGCTCACGAGCAAGTTTGCAGTCAAGCAGGTCCAGCTCGCTCAGTGCATGCCCATCCCTCAGTGGAACAAGCTCACCAATATGTACAGGCCGAAAGCTTCGCCCCTGCCGAATGCAAATCAGGCAGCGACTGCCGCAAGCCCGAAGATCGATCCCAAGGTCGTGGATAAGGTTCCGACTGGAAACCCAACCGTGGATCCGGTACACGTCGACAACGACGGCACGATTCCTGGACGCGTTGTTTCGCCCTCGACACCTTCCACCAGCGACATTGATGCGGCCCTCCTGAAAGCGGCGAACGACAAAGAAGCCTACTCTGGCGAGAGGCTCGTCACGAAGCAGCCCGACGGCCAAAAGCCCGTTGCCGCGCAGCCGACAAAGGGAGACTCCGACCTGCCCACTGGCGGCCCTCAATTCGTCCCCGCAGCTGCCAATGCTCCAGTCGAGCCGCAGACGAACGGCCACAAGTTGGAACACCAGCAGGCTCCGACCAGGATGGGCTTCCGCAAGCGTTCTTTATCTGGCGCGCTCAACTCCTGAAGTGCACGAGGGTAGCAGGCTACTCTCGTGCATTTTGCTTCGGCCAACTTTCACTCTCATCAGTCCCTCTCTCACTGTGACCATTCTAATGTGTCGTGCACTCATTCTTTGAACTCGTCACACAATTGAGCTTGTCAGTCGCTCCCGCTTTGTGACCAAGAGGGCACCGCTGAACAGCGGAGCGCCTTTATGTTTCTCTGCATGAGCCAAGCTTCGTTGCGGACCGGTGTGTGACGAATGAGAGACGTGAGCTTAAATCGACTTCATTCCCACGAATCCGACGCGACTAGGCCGCTTCGACTCCAAGCTCGTCTGCAACCAGCGCGAGCGCCTCTGCAGCCAGCTCGCTCGGCTCCGCCTCGTCGCGCTTGGTGGACTTCGCTCCGAGCACGTCGCGCGTAGTTCCAACGACACCGAGCTGCAGCCCTGCATCGGTGAAAGTCTTTGCCAGTGCCTCCGTGTCCGTCACGACGCTTTCAGGCTGCGACGTGCCGATGCTCGCGTGCACTTTCGAGGCCGTCGACACAGACACAAGCACAAGCAGCAGCCTGAAGGCTGAGAACAGGTGCGTACGCTTCGCTGAATGCCATGCGTGCGTCCCGGTTGCGCTCTGCAAGGTGTTGGGAAGCAGACGCAGCTCGGTGTACCGCAGAAGGATATGGTTGATCTCCTCCTGGCGCACTCTGGGCATCGGCACAGCGCCGCGGATCTGCAGATCACGCGCATATGAGCGCAAAACTTGCTCGCACCGCGGAACCAGATGCTTGAGGAGGGCCGTCGCGAGTCTGCGATGTACCTCCGATTGACCGCGGCCCTCGGAGCAGCCGAGGAAGAGCAGGTCCAAACACCAGTAGCCGAAGCGCTCGTTGACCACTTCAGTCACGTCATCGGCACATCCGCCCTGCCCCTCTAGCGGTGCCTCCTCCTCGAAGCTGTACAGCTTCGAACCGAACGCCAGAGCGCGGCCGACCCGATCGATAAGATAGTCCGGCACCTCGCTCTCGCCCAAGTAAGGCAAGACAAAATTCTCGATCGTTCCCAGAAGGAACAGCCCGAAGCGTTCGTCCCGATCCCGCACATCCCTGGGTAGCTGCAACGCACCGCTCGAGTCTGCCGAGATCGCTGCCCCGATGCCGTCGATCATCTTGCTCCATAGTCGCTTCACGACCTCGCGCTCGAGCTCGCCCTTGCGTGCGCGGACGTTCAGCTTGGGACAGCAGCGCGACAAGATGCGACAGAACGTCAGCAGTGCGAGCTGCCACATAGGCTGCGTCTCGTCCTTGCGCCCTGCCGACGCACCTGCAGCAGGACAGTCGGGACAGTCGTACTTGAGCTTGATCGGGATCACGAGCGCCGAAATCAGGCTTTCGAACGCGCCGCCCGTGTAGATCGCCACATCGTCCTCGTGGGACACAAACACGCCGAAAGCCTCGGTGATACTCGTCCGGGAGAGAGCGACGAACGTTGGCCCGCTCTTGGCTTGGTCTCCGCCTGCTTGACCGCCGGCATGCGCAAGACAGACGCACTCGGACAGGTCCGACAGGATGAGTGCCGGAACATCCTTGACGCCTGCGACCGACCTTGCGGTCGCCCGTGCGGCTTCTTGCACGTTGGTCAGGCTCGACCTGTCCGACATGTTGTCCGGGCTCTGCGCGTACGACACGCACCCTTTGAGGCTGGCCAGGAGCGTCTCGACCTCCTTGTAATCGAAGTGGCCTTCCAGCACGCGGTAGATCGGCGGGAACGCCTGAATGTAAGCCAAGAGATTCTTCTGGGTGAAGCGAGCTTGTTTGTCCTTGCCGTCCTCGCCCAAGCTCGAGTCGGTGGCTTTTGACTCCTGACCGCGGATATGCCGTCCGATCGTGACCCAATTGTTCCAGGCTTGTCGCCAGGCGCGCTGTACAATCTCGCGATCGGCCTCGCCAATCTGCTCTCCGTCCTGCACGGGCGCCGAAAGAATGGACGTGAAGCACTTGATCGCCGCCTGCGACAGGTCTGCCGGCCCCGCCACGAAGGTAGTCCGCGTCAACTCGAGCAGACGCGACCAGATTCCTTCAAAGTTGGGGCTGTGGATGAGCTTGGATGCCAAATACGCCCGCACGACTTCGCCAAACTGGGTGAGCGCCAGGCACTGTGACTCTTGCCACTGCTTGAGCTCACTCGGCTGGACGCCCATGAGCTGTGCCTTTCGATCTTGATCTGCGAGTCCCTCGGCCGTTCCACTCTCCAAGTCGGACGCCGAAGCTCGCAGCAGTTTGATAAGCGGCAAGATGATGGTCTCGACAATCTCTTGCCATGCTGTCGACTCGAGCATGTCGCCGTACTGCTGCAGAACGCGGAAAAGATTCGAGATGGCGCCGTTGCGTACTTCGGATCTGGTGCTCTGCGAAATCGACAGCAGACATTGCAGCATGAACAGCCAGAGCGGCTGCGCTTCGGCATCGACTTTGGCATCCTTGCCAGATGCAGCCCTTGCTTTGGCTCGCGCCGCCATCTCGGCAGTCACGCCCCATAGACAGCCATTAGCTGTGAGCGCGACGTTGACGTCCATGTCTTGACTGCCGAAGTCATTGAGGCAACTACAGCACCTCTGGATCTGTTGCAGGTCCAAGACAGACAGGAAGTCGGAGCACACGAGCTGCAGACACGAGAAGCCAGCCTTGACAAGCGCCAACTGCGCCCGTTGCGCGGCCGGCGACGTCTCCGAAACACCCTCAGCGCTCCTCTTGTCGCTCTTGCATGTAGCCGAGCAGACGTCGAACACCAGCTCCCAACCGCACGTGAGCGAATGCCCAAAAGTCTCCATGACCTTGTTCAGATTCTCGACCGAGGTGGTTCGAACCTCCAGGTCGACCAACGACGCTCTTCTTCCCTCGAGAATGCCGGCGCTCGAGATGACACGCAGTGCCTGTTCCTCTAGACGCAGCTTGTCTGCGCGGCCTGACAACTCTGCCGCCTCGGACATGGTTCCAAAGGCGAGCTTGTTGGCCGCCTGCGATGCCTGCGAGCGCCATACAGGCGAGAGAGCGGCACTGGAGAGCGTCTTGGTCAGATGCTTCGCGACGAGCTCCCAGCCCTGCTCCGACGGAAGCGAGCACAGACGCTTTGTGTTGAGCGCAGTTACTGAATCCAGGCAGCTGATCGGGTAGAAGGTCGAGGCGCTCTCGTTCTTGCTGATCGAAGCACGACCTCGGAAGCCAGAGGCACGGGGCGAGCCGGCTTCGCTTTCCGCTGCAGAGGTCCCCGCAGCTTGGATAGACTGCTGCATCATATCGTCGCTCAGGCGACAAAGCGAGGAAATGAAGTCGAGGAATGCGTCGTCCTCGAGTGCAGCGCTATTGTCAAAGATGCTCTGGATCTGCGCCTGGAGACGATCTGGCTGCAGGTCTGCCAGATTGAGAAGCTGAAGCTGGCTGCGACCTGAGCGTGTATCAAGCGAGGTCATGGAGCTGTGCGTTAATGTCGATAGCGTGGCTCGACCGCTGCGGCTGACGTCGCCATCATCCTCTTCTCCGTCATCACTGGCTTGCACGGATGGATAGCGCGAGCTTAACAGCGCGTGCGCACCACACAAACCACTGAGGACGGGGTACCAGAAGGCGCCCAGCGAACCAGAGAGGTAGTACGCAACTTGCAAGAATGCTCGCAAGCAGGCCAAGCTGCGAGTCGACACTGCTTGCAGATTTGGATCGCCCGCCATCGCATTCAAGACGGCTGATTGGGAAGAGGCGTTCCATCTTGGTACGGCAAAGGTGATTGCTCTCGTGAGCAACACGTCGCGTTCCTGTACAAGATCCAGGGCGCCAGCGACGTTGGTGAGGTTGTGGAAAGCGAGCAGCGTCTCTTCGAAGATGCTGTCGGTGCATTTTATGCGCAGGTATCGTACCAGTACGTCGCTGAGCGGCAGCGCCGAGCGCCTGAGCATAGCCTTTGTCAGGCGCAATCCGTCTCTTTCGGGGGAGTTGCCGAGTGTGTCGATGTCGGTGTCGTGCATAGCTGGGGGTGCGGGAGCCGCATTGCTCTTGCGCGAGTTGACGAACTTGGAATAGAGCGGGAGGGCATATGCTGCCATGGACTGCGTGAGCAAGTGGCACGATTGAAGAGCCAAGAGCTGCAGATAGGTCTTGGGAAGGGCGGCTGAGGCGACCGAGGGGGCCTCGACCTTGTCAAGCTGGTCGATGATCTGCACTGTAGGTGAGCTGGCTGACGAAAGCGATTCGGTGCCTTTGGAGCCTGTAAGCTGGGACATGGCAGCGCTAGCAACGCCGGCTGCGGCCTCGTAGAGACCACTGAAGCTTCGATCGGCACTTGGACGGATGCGGCTCCGGCGCGGGCTATCTGGTGTGTCGTCTGCTCCCGTAGTGTCTTGCATTGTAGGCTCCATCGCAAATACATTTTCGCTCTGCACCAGCACGCTCTGGAGTGTGATCACCAGCTTGGCGAAGACAGGTGCGGAGCCGCGTGGGCTATCGCTGTCGTCAGCAGCAGCATCGCCGGAGTCGTACCAGAGCCAGAGGTTGCGGAGGAAGACGTCATCGGAGCAGAGACTGCGTACCACCTCTAGCGCCAGGACCTGTTGCCACAGCGTTGGCTGAGAGCCTCCGTGAGCTGCGACCTCGTGTGCGGAGGGATTGACGGTGCGAAGGAGGATGGAGAGCAGAATTTCGACTTCCAAGACGAGATCGGAGCTGAATTGACGGAGCAGGAGGAAGAGCAGCCGCATGAGTCGAAGATGGATGGGGAATGCAGGAGGTTCGCTGAGACTCTTGATGAGGAGTGGGCAGACTTTGGAGCGGAGGAGGAAGAGAAGCTCCGGATGCGAGACATTCTGTCCTTGGGTCGTGTTGAGGGAGGAAAAGAGACGCTGGTGGTTGGAGAGGACGCTTTCGATGAGCTCGAGGGAGAACGTCTTGGAGAGCGTATGGAGGGAGAGGAAGGAGGCAGGCTCAGCGTTGGCGAGTGAGCAGAGGTCAGAGAAGACGAGGTAGGCGTCGCGTGAGGATGGGAAGAGGGTGACGGGACCGTCGGGGAGATCTACGCTCATGGCGGCCAAGGGTGCCGACGCGGCGGCCTCCTCTCCGCCGCCTTTGATGCCGTCGAGCACTGCATCTTCGTCCTTTACCTTGTCGAATACGGCCATGACGCTCTGGCGCAGAGTGGCAGCTGCGGTGGAGCTGACGACGGCGACCTTGCTACCCTCATGGAGCTTGAAGCCGAGCATGAGCGTTCCGGAGAGGTCGGCATTGTGGATGTTGGGGTAGGTCGTGAGCAAGGCGGAAGCAATCTGGAGGATCTTGAGCTGCACGTCCACGTCGCTCTTTGAGGGCGGAGTGAGGAGCTTGTTGAGGGCGGTGATGACGGTGGGTATCGCATCATCGGGCAAGAGTTTCTGCAAGAGGATGCGTTGGAGCAGTGCCATGGCGAGCGAGATGACCTTGGGCAGCTTTGTTTCGCAGCTGAGAAGGACAGGCCGCAACAAGGGATGATCGGACGGCGGGCCGCCGAGGGATCGTGACGAGCTGAGGAAGGCATCGGGCTCGGCCTTGATTCGAGCCAGTGCAGCATCGGCGGCCTGCTTGATCTCGGGATGCTTGCGCCTGGCCTCAACGCCGAGCGAAGTGAGCTCCGAGGTAAGCAGTTGAGCCATTGCGACGGCTATCCAAACTTGAAGTTGCCCAGCGCGAGTCCGTTCCGCGAAGGAAGGGTGGAAGAGGCCGCCGACTGATGAGGAGCGGATCGATGCGGAGCTGTCGCCTGCGTTTGTGGTTCGTGCGGAGAGGAGGCGACGGTGAGCTTCTTGAATCACGCACGGACTGCAGCACTCCTCCCGTTTTGCGTCAAGAAGGTGTTGGTCTCCACCTCTGGACCCAGCCGCTTTCGCTCGAGACTTGCTTGAAAGCTCGGATGCGCGGCCTAACAAGCGCGAGGGTGGCCCAAATTAGCATTCGACCGTGGGATCATATGCCCCTGAGAGCCAGGAGCCTTGGTTGATCTCGCTCCTGTGCAACGGTCGCTAACGAGCTCGAGTAGAGGACAGAGACCACTCTGCGCCGTCACTGGGCGATGTTCGTGCATCGTCTCCGCGGTGAGCAGAAAGCATAGGCAGCCTCAGATGTTCAAGGCATGCAATGCAGCCCACGCCTCCGCGGCGCCCCGGTAGGGAGAGAGGCTGCAGCGGATGAGCAGCAGGTGGTCAAAGGGGTGCACGCGCATCGCAGATAAATGTAACACTGCTCTGCTGCGCGCTCGCGCTGGGCTGCCGAGCGTGAGGCAGGGTTCAAGGAGAGGAGGCCCTCGCTCTCTCCACTCGGCACCCTCCCTCTCCCTTGGCCTGCTTTGTGACGGATTGGATTTTTGATGGATTTCTAGGACCGCTTTCGATTTTGAATGCCAAAAGTCGAGCAACGCAGCTCCTCACACCCGCACATCCGCACATCCGCACGCCCACCGCCGATGCCTCTTGCTCACCTTCGCATCTTGGCCAACTCCTCGAGCCGCGTCCCGTCAAGCTTGCCCTCTCCTCACCGTCACCTTCATCGGCTCTCCCCCGAAGCACCTCGCTTTCACAACTGTCCTGACCTGCTGCTGCTTCCATACATTCAAACGCCCAAAGCCAGCCAGACTCGCCTCGACTGTACCCAACACTTCGGCGCTTTCCGACCCTCCCGCTGCCACACTTCATTAAGCCCAGCCAAGCACGCGGCGGCAATCACGCACCCACACACACCTGCAGACACAGCCTCGAGATCACGGATGGCCCGACTGACGTAGTATGCTCAAGGTGTAGCGACGCTCGTCTCTGCTGCTCTGCAAGGAGCTCAACCGCACCTTGTCCACGCCTTCATCGACTTCTCCTTCCGAACTAGCCGGCATGACATCCGCAACGGACTCACTCGTAGATGCGCGTCCGCCATCCATCCGCGATGCGAAGCACGACGACCCCCTGAAGCCGCCGCAGAACGCTCTGATGGCAGCTGTCCAGCTCAAGCCATCCCACCCACGAAGTCGCTCCGGCTCCGACTCGAGCCACCCATCGTCCGACTTTGACCACGAGCGTCCCTCCCAGGATGACGACGACATCGACAATACCCCAGCCACCTCCTACGGTGGCTTTCTCTCCACACGCAGCGACATCTCAGCCGGTCCCAAATCCGACTCCAGCCACCTCTCCCACATCGGCTTCCTCAACAGCGCCCACTCCGTCGCCGCTTCCGACGACGAATTGAACAGGATGGACGAAGTGCGCCAGGAGGTCGAGGCGCTCTTCGAAAAGTTCCTCCCCGACTTTCAGGTCCACCAGGACGACGATCAGTCCTCACAGCACGGCCAAGACGCAGAGCCCACGCTGCTCAGCCGCAACCTCCCCGCCATCCTCTCCGAATTCGAGAGGCAGAGAGACCATCCGCTCATCGACCCCAAGGTCTACAGCCAACTTCAGGTCTTTGCCGACGAAAATCCCGAGGTGCCCATCTCGTCCAACATGCTCGTCAACCTCATCCATGCCTTGGAGTCGAGCGCACAGTCGGTCGCATCCGAGGAGATGGACCCCAGGACACCATCCCTCATGGAGCGCCACACGTCCCACAGCACCGGCAACGACTCCACACCCATAGCCGCATCAGACAAGGCTGAAGACGTGTATCTTCAAGACTACCTCATCCCCGACGCCGACACCAGCCGTGAATCGTCGAGGGAGATGAGTGCAGAAGCCACCGTCATCCTCAACCTCAAGGAGGACTTGCGCATGGAGCGCGAGAGGAACGACGCGCTGCAACAGACGCTCTCCGACAAGGAGAGGCGCGTCAACACGTTGGAGCACAAGCTCACCACCGCGCAGGAGCAGTACGAGGAGATGATGCTTGAAGAGCAGGCCAAGCTCGATGAGCTCCACAAGCAGATCCAAACACTACGTCGCGATGAAAAGGAGCTCCGCACAAGGCACCACGAGCTGCAGGAACAGAACAATGCTTTCGAAGCGCAATTGACCGCGCTCAATGCCCAGATCGAAGCTTCGGAAAAGGCGAATGTCAAGGTGCGCCGAGATCTCGAGGAAGAGTCGAGCCAGCTCATCAAGGCCAAGGCCGATCTCGACCGCAGAGCCAAAGAAGCCAAGGAGCTCTCCGAGTACCTCGTCGAATGCGAACAGGCCAAGGACATCGCCGAAAACGCGCAACACCAGCTACGCCAGGAGCTCGACAAAGCCCGAGCCGAGACAGCCAAGCTGCAACCGTACAAGGAGGAGGCAGAGGAGTCTAGAACCACCGTCGACAAACTCGAGATGGAGCTCGACGAGATGCGCCGCCTCACCAGCCTGCACAGCAAAGAGTCTTCGGCGCTGCAACACAGCAATCCAGGTACTATGACCCGACGCCTGGGCAACGAGCTTGCTCGGAGCATGGATCTGGATGGACACAGCTCCAGCGACGATACGCAGGTGGAGGATAAAGATGCCGACTCAAGCAACGTCGACGACTTTATCGAGACCGTCATCCAGCGACGTCGCAGGCGGGTGGGCAAAGCTCGCAAGTCTGTCGAAATGGTCACACAAGCCACCCAGACCGAGCTCAAGGACGAGCCAAGCGTCGCGACATCCGCACCAGGAGGCGCTGCTGACGCCACCGTCTCTTTGCCAGATGTCGCCACCGAGCACACCAGAAAGCTTTCCACGCGCACTTCGTTGCATCACATTGTCGCGGCGGTGCGGGCGAGGAGCACTCTGGTCGCCATCCTCGTTCTCATCATCGGCTTGAGCATCGGATTGATGCTCAACACGTCCCGCGACCTCTACCACATCAACGACTATGCTCTGGATGCGGACGAATACCGCAAGCTCAACCATCCCCCAGATTTGCACCAGCACTACTACTACGACAACCGCTATCCGAACGCCAGGGTCGGTCCGAATCTTTTGGACGATTACGTGGCGCCGGTGGTGGACTTTGCACTGTCCCTCCTCGGTCTCGGCAATCCAGCACGCTCCATGCCCGGCGGCGTTGTATACTAGTGGGCGTCCAACCCCACCAGCCTTGTCCTTTCTCAAGAAGCCCTCCGCCTCGACTCGAATGGCCGTCTTTGTTCCTGTATTAGCACCATCGTTCCCTTCACACTCGCTTATTGATTCGCGCCTGCTAGCGCCTATACCACGGCGCTGCTTTTTCGGAAGCGGCGTCACTTTCCCCCGCTCACTTGCGCACCGGGCGCGGATCGAGCCTCTCGCGCGATGCTTTCATGCTCCATCTCGACGAATCGGATCAGGCTCGATACCAAGACCCCACCCCCACGATCTTTTCTAGACCATGTAACACATTCTTTTCCAGATATCGCTACGAATGATGCAGTCATTGGAGCGTTCATTGCGGCCAGGGTATCATTGCGCTGGGTATCGAGGGAGTCGAAGGGAGGCGGTCTAGGAGGTTCGCTGTTTGTGGTTGCAGAGCGTGCATATAGGTTTGCGTCTCAGCTTGCCGCGTGCTGCTGCAGCTTGCTTCAAGGCAGTCTTTCGCGTCGAAATGAGGTTGATTCCCGGGACGAGGGGAAGCGCGCAGTTCGTGCACCGTGGGTTGTGTCGGTGGTAGAAATCGGGCACGATCCGAGCATCTTTACGCCGCTTCTTCGTCTCGCCTTCGTCCCTAGGTGTTGGCTCGATGTCCTCAGCCCAGAGTGACCGACGGTATGCGACGGGCTGCAGCTTCTGCGCCGTCCACATGGCATCTGCGGCCTTGACGTGCTCGCGTGCGAGGCCGAGAAAACGACGTGAATGAAGCGCGGCGAGCCGAGGAAGAGTCGCGCTGGCTACTCGGGCAAGCTGCTCTTGGTGCACCGCCTGCAGCGCATTCTGCTCCGGGATGGAAAGGGCCGTCGAGGAGGACGCTGGGGAAGAGCTTCGTGAGGACGTCTGCGACGCGGCTACCGCGTTCTTGAACTGCAACGATCAGGGCAGGTTTGCTGTAAGCCCACACTCTCACCGAGTCGAAGAAAGGCTAGGCACAATGCTTACTTTGGAGGGCTTTGTTTTTGATGACATGACTCCAAAGGATCACGGAGCAGAGATAGGACGACGAGAGTGAGAACATCTTTCGGAAGGGAGGTGAGAGCAGGATGACAGCTTTTGACTTTTTTGCAAGTAGTCGGGACTCGGCGAGTAGAAAGCTCCACATACGCGCACGAATCCGCACGAGAAGGTCGCCGCGGGTGAGGTGGAACCCTGGCTCTCGCTCTCTCCGCTGCTCTCTCGCTCGGGCCGCGCGCTGCAGCTGCTGCACTCTGTGAACCAACTTGCCTGGAAAGGGTACAGCAGACCAACACTTTCGACTCACCACCGTCACATTCTCAGCCGTTGCTCATTGCGTCACATCTCGTTTTCACTTCATCTCGACGCTGGCGTTGAGCTTCGAGATAGGTCGACCTCTTCACTCGCCCTCCATGGCCACATCCGCCGTTTGCGCCTGAGCTAGGCACCTCGTCCTCCCACCCCGTCCTTCACACGAGTGCACGGCTGCGCCGCAAGCATCAGCCATGCCGCCCAACCCTTACATACCGTGGCTCACCAGGCCACGCATGTACGCCTACGGCATCGTTTCCACGCTCGTCGCTGTCGCCACTGTCGGCACCGCCTTCTCGGAGCGCAGCAACTTCTATGCCGCCGTCGTGTTCCTCGGACGCTCCAACGGCTGCATGCTCGTCCTGCTCAACTTTCTCCTCGTCATCGCGCTCATAGCAGGCCGTATTCTGCAGCTCATGTACTTTGGTCAGCTGCGCAGATCCGAAGTCGAGCTCATCGGCGAGCGGTCGTGGTACAGCCTCGTGGGCACGCTGCTCGCCGTCTCCATCTTCCGCGACGACTTCAGCGTGTCGTTCGTCATCCTCTTTGGCGTGCTCCTCTTCCTCAAGATCTTCCACTGGCTCTCAGCAGAACGTGTCGCATCCATCATGCAGAGCCCCAGCGTTCCGCGCATCTTTCACGTGAGGATGGTGAGCATCCTCACCACGCTGCTCTTGGCCGACCTCCTCCTCGTCGCCTTTTCGCTCCAGATGCTCATCGTCAAAAAGATCAAGATCGGCATGATGGTGCTCTTCACCTCCGAGTTCATCATCCTCACCGCACTACTCTTCAACACCATCGCGCAGTACATTCTCAACTGCATCGACATGGCGCGCGAAGAGCCGTGGGAGGCCAAGTCGCTCTACGTGCTCTACGTCGACCTCGCCCACGACGTCGTCCGGCTCGGCACGCACGCCTACTTCTTCATCCTCCTCACTCGGCTATACGGCATCCCGCTCTCGCTCATCCACGACCTCTATTCCGCCGGCAGAAGCTGCACTACCAAGGTCAAGGCGCTCTTCCGCTACCGCCAGGCGCTCAAAAAGATGGAGACAAAGTATCCCAATGCCAGCGCTGCGGATCTGCAAGCCACCGACGGCACGTGCATCATCTGCAGGGAAGACATGGTTGCAGCTGAGGCGAGCGAGGCGACACCGCCCAATTCTCCTGCAGCAGTGACCAATGTCACCCCCAAGAAGCTCTCGTGCGGCCACATCTTCCACTTCCGCTGCCTGCGATCATGGCTCGAGCGCCAGCAGAGCTGCCCTACGTGTCGCCGCATGATCCTCGACGACGAGCCAGAGCCTGCCGCATCTCCAGCACAGCAGCAACAACCGCCGCCGCCACACGGTCCAGCAGGCGCGCCGGACGACAACGGTTCAGGCTTGGATCCGTCGGATCGCGCAACGAACCGCGCAGGACCATCAGGTGCAGGGCTTGCATCCACCGCAGCACACGGGCAACGTACCGCGGCAGAGGAGGAATACGACACACGGCTGCAGGGCTTTCTGCAGCGGCTGCAGAGCGACTTGCGCAAGGTGCGCGACGAGGGCAACCTGTCTGCGCAGCGCGCGTCGAACCGTGCTGCCAGTCGCAGTGGACGCTCGACGCCGCGCACAGCAGCTTGGTCACCCGACGCAGTGTTCGGTGGCAGCACCAGCGGTGGGGTTGGAATCGCAAGACACGTTCCGGCTGTGTCGAGCTTGGCGCAGGCCGACGAGGGGCTAGGTGGGCTCTGGATGCCGCCTCCGCCATCCACGCTGTACCGCACAGGTAGGCGTCCGGTTCTGCCCACACGGACCAAGGGCGCCGAAGCTGAGGCATCGCAGGAAGACAGCAAGGGCAAGGGTAAGGAACGACAGCCCGAAGCTGACGCCGTTGTGCAGGACGATGCCGCCGAAGATCCGATCGATCCAAGGGAGGCGATTCGCCAAGCCACACTGCGACGTTTTGGCCAGTCCGCCAACGTCACCTCCACGTCTGCG